TACTTATCTCTCGTTTCCATGGTTTCCAGTTCGATTGCGTAATATACGCGCGATTCTATATTTGTTGATACAAGGAGTGGGAATACACAGTTTCGAAGAGATTTCCAACGATTTGTGACTTTTATGAAGTGAAATCCGATTAATAACAAATCATTGAAACAATATGAGAAGAAAGAAAGAAAATTACGCCAACAAGGATGCCTTTAAAGTGTGTTTATTTGAAATTCAGTCAAGCGCTTCGCCATGTCGAAGTTATACTGTCATATAAAGGTAAATATTTGTTTTACATTTGATTATTTCGTTCTCCAGAGTCGAGATTGGATCTTTAATTCACTGTGAATTTGTGACAATGTTTAAGCTAGGGCAATTTTATTCATTTACTGTCTGAGAAAAGATGGGATCTCTGAGTTTATAATTCAACTTGTTCGAGACATGTATTGATGTATATTTGTAGTACTTCACCTCGGCTCAGTACTATACTGTAGCTTAATTCAGTCAAGGATAAAACTGATTTCATCTTTATATGGCGAGCTGTTATCAAAATGCTACTGGGATTGAGTTATTGGATGATTACTGTTTTGTAATTCATAAATCAGGCATGTCCAGATGAACTTTCTGGTAGCAGAATATATTGAATTTTTTTACATGACATGATTGAACATACTGAATAAAATTTCTATTATGCTGTACTATAGGAATTACCTTGAGCTCATGGAAACATTACAGATTGTACAACACTAACATCGAATAAACATGGTGATGAGTGTGGAGATGTGGTTATAACAACCATATAGTGGTTAACCAATCAGAAACAAATTTAAAGAGAGGAATAAATATAGAAGAAACAATACAGATTGGATGCTGATGAAACAAAGATGGAAGAATGTATTGCCTTATAATAACAATTCACATTACATAAGAGCACAAGTATTGTTTATGAGTTGGAATAATTTGATTGAGTTGAGAATAGTTTGATTGACTTGGGAATGTTATCCAGTGCTGGTTGAGAGTCAGAAAATTATGTCCTTAAATAGCCACCTATAAAGTGTTTTCTAGTTCTATTTTCTGTAGCTACTTTATATATTTCATTATCTTTTTGTATGGATATATGATAACTGATTTCAAGCACCATGCTTCATGCCATGTGAACAAAAATGTAGTATAGCAGTTTTAACATTCTGGCTAAAATAGTTATCTGGCCAACATTGAGATATAAATACTGATAGTTTTGGTGGAGATAACATTACCATCATGTAACATAGTCAGGGGGGTAATTTTCTAATCCTTACATCTGCTTTGTTTTGTTTTAGATGTTTAACAATGAATATTACATGTATTGCATTTTATTATATTATATTGTAGTAAAGTATGAACATCTGATCATTTGTGTGGTATAAAGCAATATGCTATATCTTGGATGTTACTCGAGTGTGTATCCACACCGGGCAGGTGTGGATACACACTGTGCCCGGTGCATATTTTTGTATTCAAGCCTGCACGGTGTGGATATACACTCAGAGTAACATCACAAGCATCTTATTCACCTGAGTACACTACACCAACACAACAAAATAAATATCATAATATGCTATATATTGAATTTTTTACAACAACTAGGTATAACAGTAATAACACTTTTGTCTGGGTGGCTAATTGATGCCGTGCAACAGATACTGCCAAGATGTGGTTCACACCAGCAACTTTCTACAAGATTTGTATTGTAACTATTGTTCACACTAGCAACTTTCTTCAGAACTATGATCATGATGTTTTTCAAATAAATGTCACAACAGGCAATGTCATGGCAATGTTTAGAACATCTGACTCAAAACAATTTCTTGGAACAACAGTATTCTACATATACAATGTTATCTTGATCTAACAGAGCACATATTTTCTTCCTGTCGGCATGGGGAACACAATGTCTACAGTTGCAGCAGTCCAGATTTTGGTGGGTGTAGCCATGAATGTGGTGGTGGTGATCTGCAAATTGTCCTCAATTTTTCCAAGAATGAGAACCTACAGTATCAATGTTTCAAAAAAAAGATTTACATGGGGTATATACCCTTTATAAAGATTACACTATGGGATGCATTTTTTGAAGGTTCAGAAACAATCATGCCATGTCATTCAACATAGTACATTTTTGTCCAGTGCAGTAGTGACATTAATTTTAATATGCAATCACACAAAAGTGCTATAAAATATACAACAATGATTGAATGTATGGTCAGCAGGACTGGGTCCCATGTGAAGACCAACCTACAGTACAATCATGTCCGATGTAAAAAAATATATGCTGCTACCAAAAAGTTCATCTGGAGATGCCTGATTATGAATTACAAAACAATAATCATCCAATAACTCAATCCCAGTAGCATTTTGATAACAGCTCACCATATAAAGATGAAATCAGTTTTATGCTTGACTGAATGTAGTACTGAGCCTGAGGTGATTAAATTAGATTTCAAGTACTATATTTAAATAGTCTATACATGTCTTGAACAAGTTGAACTATAAAACTCAGAGATCCCATATTTTCTCAGACAGTAAATGAATCTAATTGCCCTAGCTTAAAAATTGTCACAAATTCACAGCGAATTAGAGATCCAGTCTCGACTCAGGAGAACGAAATAATCAAATGTATAAACAAATATTTACCTTTATATGTACGACGTACATGGCGAAGCGCTTGACTGAATTTCAAATAAACACACTTTAAAGGCATCCTTGTTGGCGTAATATTCTTTCCTTCTTCTCATATTGTTTCAATGATTTGTTATTAATCGGATTTCACTTCATAAAAGTCACAAATCGTTGAAAATCTCTTCGAAACTGTGTATTCCCACTCCTTGTATCAACAAATATAGAATCGCGCGTATATTACGCAATCGGACTGGAAACCATGGAAACAAGAGATAAGTAGTCTACCAAAACAAAAAGAATCGCACATGCGCAGCACGGACTGTAACCCCTCTTTAACCCCCTCAATAAAAGTAGAATCTTTTCTCCCTTTGTGGATTAAAAAATTAACTGCAATTATGAGACAGGTGTGTGTTGCAGGTAAAGTTAGATATTAGGTCAATCTGTTTAACCTAGCTCATTATGTTTCACCCTGGTGAATTGATTCAACAATATATGATTCAAAAATATATATTATGTATGTGTTGCTACTTTGCAATGTATCATTTGTCGTACCATTTCTAACCCTAATCTACCCTAACCCAATTGGCCTGTATTCATACAGCAAAATGAACTAGATTTAAACAGATTGACATCTAGAATCTAAATTTAACGACAACATATATATGGTATGTTATTAAATGTATGCATATTTGTGATTTATATTAGAATGTTAAAGAAACTGACATTAAATATCTCAACTTCCATATAATCTATAAGATTCAACAAAAGTGCATTTGCAATTATAAAAATCAGAACTCTAGACATAGTATTCAAGGCTCAAACTTTTTTGACCCCCCCCCCTTTCTCTAGGTTAAAACTTTCTTGACCCCCTATTTATAAGATTAAAACTTTGTTTGCCCCCCCTCTTATTTACCAACCCCCCTCCCAATAAATTATGACCACTCCCTTATGATACATCTTAATAAACAAGTTAAATGATAATAACTTGTGCATGTTCTTTTATCTCTAAGGCTAGGAGTTTGCATGTCCCCAAATATGATACTTCATCTCCAGCGTTGTTTGGGTGAAAACTTCGACTCCAAAGTGAAAACTTCGACTCCAAATTTTCTTGGAAAGAGAATCAAGTGACCACCCCCATTCAACCTCTGTGTTTCCATACATTAAACAATTAATGTATGCATTATTTAATTAAACGTTAACAATTACCATTTATGTGTTTTTTTTGTTCAAAATTGTATTTTTTTATATAGTATCCATCCAAAACTAAACCAAAACTAAACTACACCTGTAATTAAATTTACATAATAGTTTTTCCACCTTTGCATGTCCTCTCTATAGATGTTTTAAATTGACCAGCCTTCATTTGAAATTTAATGACAAAAGATATTTTTTAAAACATTTTTACATTTCACAGGTTGGTTGGAGATAATATAGATAATCAAATGTATGCCACAATCCAGTCGACAATGAATGAGAATAGATCAATACATTGGACCAAGCCAATATGCCATTAGAGATAGTGTTGTTGATCCATGTCTTGACAATTCTCAACCCATAATGAAAGCTAATCAAATACAACTGACAGAACTTCTCCCAACACCAGATGTCCAGGCTAGATTAAAGAAAACACTGAAAGTCATTGTGAGTCGAATAGTAACAAATTATCTTCCAGCTTTCAAGTCATTACAGAATGTCGTTGTTCATCACATACCCCATAGCTACACAAAGGAAGTCAGTCAGAAGTCAAATATAGTAAGTTTATAGTTTTCGTGTTCTTTGACATATCACCAATATGATCAGCAAAGAATATGCAAATACAAGAGCCATTGTGAGCGCCACAAATCTCCTAATCTGTCCCCCATTTTTTAGAAGAGTTAAAGAGATCGCCTGTCCTAAATCGTAACAAGGATTATAAATAATTGTGTATTTGAATAGGTTCCTTAATTGAGTATGGAATATATTTCACATCATTCTATTGTGTGTCTGTCGTGCTATTGTCCCTACATTTTTGCAAAACCCTCATCTCTCTAACAAGCCCTATCTCAAACAGGACTTAAATTAATATAGGCCCATTGTAGGGGAAGGGGCTTACCATCTGTTCTTCTCTGTATACATTTTTATTATTTTTTCATAATAGTGTTGTCTTGGGATGGAATTCATTAAGGAAAGAAAGGAATAACTATGATTTTTGTCTATCTTGGTGTTATGTACTCTGGTGAATATGATGTCTGTGATGTTACTCTGAGTGTATATACACACCGGGCAAGCTTTAAAAATATGACTGACCACGGTGGGAATCGAACCTACGACCTTCTAAATATCACATACTCGAACCGATCTGACCGCGTAGCTCGGTAGAGCATTGGGCTAGTATTCCAAAGGTCATAGGTTCGATTCACACCGTGGTCAGGCATATTTTTCAGGCAGAGTAACATCACAAACATCAAAGAAATAACTGTTTTTATAATTGAGATGCATTATCTGTCTGGATGTATTAACGCTCAAATTTGTCCAAACAGATATAACAATTCTCTCTGGTATAAAAACAGCCAATTGTACATGTAATTGTTTATATACTAGATGGAATAGGACACGTTCTACAAAGCTAAATCATGTGCAGAGCTCGAAACAACGAAAGCTAGCATGAATAGGACAGGAAAGACTAATGCTGCTGCAGGTCGGAAGAAGAAGTACAATGAGTACAAGGAATTCCATACATGTGAAGTTGCTGCTCATATATGTACATCGTTTATGCAAATGCCAGGAATGAGAAACTCTGAGGGCAGTAGAATCTAGTGTTTTCGTACATACCGTCGTTAACGCCAGAGGAGGAATCGTCACTATACCATGATGCATTGCGGCGGATTTTTTTCTCAATTGTGAATTTCTCAATTGTGAGTTTTCATCGAATTTTTCTCGCTGAAAATCACGAAAGTTTCAAAGGTATTTATTAGCAATATGTTCCTGGGTATTGAAATTTACTATATAAATATTTTATTTGGGTTATTTGATACTTTTGGGACGAATAATTTGCATATGTTTTGACCTATTTTCCGGGTCACTGCACACGGCTGGAAATTGGCTTCAATATATGATGCGGTCGTTTATAGTTTAAAATAGAAAAAGTCGAAAAAGATCGTACCAGTACATAGAAGAGAAGTTATTCTTTGAAATGATACCAAGAAATCAAAAACGACCCCTCAAACCGAGAAGTTAATGGCTTTTCAAAATGGGGTATTTGGTCCTTGATTTATTCAAACCAGATTCAAACTATGCGTAAACACCCGACATTCCGGTTGCCGCGCGAAATGGCGCGAAAACACAATGATATTCAATTCATTATGCATTGGCCTGCAATTATTTTTCAGTTTTGATATATAGGAACATGAGTTCATACCCTTTATCAATTATTCTTATCCGTTTTCAATTATATTGATGAAGTATTAAAGAGACAATAGCTTGTTTAACTTTAAGACTGATATTTACAGTTTATACTGGAGAAAGCAATGTTGTTTGTTTGTATTAATATAAATAGGATACCTGTGATTTGCTATGAAATGTAATGTCGTGATGTTGAGTAGTAATACTCAAGCAAGTGCACCTAGACGAGTGATTTTTTATGTCACCCGGCTACGGGAGCTCCTTATTGGCCAGGTATAGCACGTGACCCGCATGTTACATTTTTCAAAATGAAAGCTAGCTAAAATTATTGGGGGGGGGCGATCGCCCCCCCCCCTATTTTCCGCCACTGGAGTTAGGTATACGAGTATCATCAAGATGCTGTTCAAGGGCGGATTTTCTTATTTTTTAAAGGAGTGGAAAAAATTCTAGTGAGGTGTAAGTGGCACAACTGAGCGAGCTTCGGCAGGGGTTGGGCATTAGGATTAAAGACCTTTACACAAAATAGGAGAGATGAGGCAAAATTTTGGTGGGGTTGAACACTTTATAAGAGGGGTTAGAGAGATTCTAGGACCCCCCAGTAAATCTTCCCATGATGCTGTTAGAAATTATTAGGCAGGTGAGGGGTGTGGTCACTATGGTTTGGACACTTTGAAAGGTTAAGAGCCCCACTCCCGGTGTGTATGTACTGTTGTTGAATGTCAGGCCTAATGATGCTGCATGGATATGTCATTGACATCTTATGAACTCTCTTCACTAGCATTAGGCTGTATTCTTGTCAGAAGCAATAATAAGGCATATTTTGAACTTTATTCATACTTCATCAGTTTTACATTATTTCACACTACACCATGATAGTATATACATTATTGACATTAAGCCATGCTGTGGTAATATGTAAAATAGGGGTGCACCGGAACCAATTTTTAAAGTTCTGGCCGGAACTGCAAAAAAGTTCTGGCCGGAACTGATTTATTAAGCTATATATAGTCATATGTTACTTTGTCTGCTGCCAGACAGGCAGACACTTCAAGTCATCAAGGTGGGCTCGCAAATGTTAGAATAAAAAGATTGATAAACGTTAAACGTCATGTACATTTTCCTTGTGTAGTCCAAAAAACGTATGATATTCTATCTCTGAAAGGAGTTCCGCCAGGAACTAACTGGCCAGAACCGAGTTCCGGTGCACCCACAATGTAAAATCATAATTTTAAAAAATAAATAAGTTAAGAAATTAACATGTAAATAATTATATAAATAGGTATAAATAATTTTAATATTTACTCTAGATAATATTTTATACAGTAGGTCTGCATATCTCCTTCTAAAGTGCAGGAAATGGCATTTTAGAGACTCTAGTTTCAATTTTTTTCCAGAGGGGGACGCCCCCGGACCACCCTTGAATGTCACCCGGGTGCCCCCCCCCCCACACACACACACACACTTTTAGAGCTGCTCTGACGCCCCTGTGTATAAAACATGTCAATAATAATGTTCTTAAAACGTATTTAAAAATTTTCCACAAAACGAAGTAATAATCATTGAAATACTTCATTTTATGTTCGTCTAAGGAATTTTACGGAAATCTAAGGAAATTTTCGGAATTTTTTTGCAATCTAAGGAATTGTTAGATTTGATTGTGAGAGCCCTGCCCTTGTAATTTGACCTTCGTCAGATTGAAATACCGAAATAAAAGATGAAAAACTGAAGTGTTTTAGATTGTGATTCCAACAAGACTGCAACGAAAAAGATATGTTCGAAGGGGCCGAAGTTATTTTCGGCGAAAGATATAGATCGGTAATAATACATTAATACATTGTTTACATTCTTCGAACAGTTATGTAATTTTTGACTTCAAATGTTGGTTCCGAGCTTCGCTTGCAGCCAACATTGCTTTCGCGTTCCTCTCAGAATCCGATTTGTTTTTGCTTTATTCTCTAGTTTATACAGTTAGCTACCTTGTTAAATGCATCTGCCGGTTGAGAAACATAAAATAATAGTTAAAAATTGTCAATTAAAATACAATTATCAATGATGCTTTAAAATTGACGCTATATTTAAGCCATATAAGCAAAACTTAATGAACTTCAGACATAATTTTCTCTTTGGCGTATCATCTATAATCTCTTCAGTTTAGCATTATTTTACAGATAAAGCACTAAACATACTTTTTAAGTTTGTTTTCCGATTGAGAAACGTATCGAAACATAAAAATTTTGAATTTAGTCATAACCTCAAGTGGTATATTACTTGTACGCATTAGTTTTGAGGGCGTGTTACGTAACATACTTAATTAACTTCATAAATTTACAGAATAAAGTTAATAAATTTACTGCAGTAATAAATTTACGTGGTGTTTCCACAAACAATAGTATTATATGTCTTATCGTCCTGCGTTTATTAAACCTACAAATAACTCACTGACACATTCCAACAGTCTGCATTTACAGTCTAAATCACTCTGACCATTTTTACCTTTAGTTTGAATAGCCGTGACTGAATAAGTTCCTTAAATATTAGCCAGCTTCGCAAAAGCAATGTTGGCTATTAGCGAAGCTCGGAACCAATGTTTGAAGTCTGAAGTCTGAAATCTGAAGTCTGAAGTCCCTTCACGGCTTCCGTACTTGACCAATCAAAGCTCATAAATAGCTATAATGTTTGTCTTTGACTAAAACTACCGTTAGCAATTAGGAGATACTGTTTCACTGAATCGAACGGTGGTATTTTCATCTACATGCATTCACTGAACCGAAGATATGAAACCTGCAAAATACTATTCCACTATCGGCATACGTACATAGTTAAATTAATCGCGCCTGTCGAGGAGTAAATCCATTTACTAAGTCAAATCCAAGTCCGAGTCAATTCGGTTAACCAACAAACTCGCCTGTCGAGCAGGTTTCTCCATTTACTGTTCTAGAACATTTGGAACACTGTTCTGGAACGATATAAAGTGGAGTGCACACTGTGTTCTGGAACAGTGTTTAGTTTATTATATATGCGTGCAACCATGCATTACTATATATTCATTACTGATTCGCATAATAAATCGTATAATGATTTGCTGTTATTTGTATATCTAAGTATGCTTTCGTAACGTTTTTACTCGTTAATTTTGCCCATCCCTGGCGTTCAAATAGCATATAATAAGTATATGTCGATATATAGCGGTTAACCCTTCAAAATAACGCTCTATACAGTGTGCATTAGATACACAAAATCTGTCGCCTCCATTTCCAATCACGTGAAAACGGGCAGTGTCACGTGTCTGTTCTGGCTGCCCCTTACTCGAAACTTGGGGTAGTCAGAACAGTTCAGAACAGTCATGTAACTGTCTTCTGTTCCATTCCATTAGTGTTCCGAAAATCTGGAGTACTCCGAACAGTAAATGGAGCAGCTTGGAGAACTTAGAAGCCTTTACCTTTCATTTCTTACAAATAAGCCCGTGGACTCGTCAGAATTGACTGAATCTACAACTATACAAGTTCAAATGGTGTAAATCCGCGTTAATATTGCCAAATTGCGCAAAATGTTTGTAAAAACTGATGATTTATGAGATGTTCCAGATATTTCAGTTATTCCAGATGTTTCATTCCATGTTTTAGACGTTGCCGCTTTGTGAACCAAATATCGCTACATCGAAAGTGTTAATTATACTTATATGCCCTAGAATTGTTGCAAAGCAAATTACCAGAGTTTAAGACTCCGAATTAGAAAGCTACCCATCATACATTGGATGCTCAATGCTTAAGGACCCTTAAGGTTTAAGTTTTTCAAGGACAACCTTTTTCGAATCGGCTATATATATATAATCAATAGCATGCATGGCAGTCCAGTATTTGAATTAGTATGCTATATATGCTGTAATTTGATTAGTTTTTCGATTCTATGGCCGTACGGCGGTACTTCCCTAATTGTGATAGTAACTTCTACTTTACTCTTTAGTACGTGCATGAGACAATGTTTAATAATACCTATAATCTTTTTGCGGTATATATTCACGACAACCAGCTTTACAGCTGATTAACCAATTGTAACGAGGCACACCCAGGTCGAGTCACGAGTCGAGACGAGTCATGATTCAAAGGTCCAAATCACGAGTCGATACCCTGCATTGTAGCTTGTGAAATTAGTAATCAAATTCACCTCTAAGTTTCGAAACAAGCTGTTTTTATTGTTGTAAATATATAATACTCTACATATACCAGCAACAATGTAAAAATTTACGCTTTTCAAATACAGTTC